TCTCTCCCAGACACAAAGGCTCCTGGGTGGGATTACTCTACTTTGAATGGAGACCCCTTGCTGGGGGTCTGTGTATAAAACCTGCTCTTTTCCCAATAAAGACAGACTATTGTTCCCACTATTGTTAACCATTCATTAAGTCTAGGCTGATGTTTGGGTGGGAGCTATAATCACTATCACTCAGTTACATATATACAACTGAAAACTAAGTGCATATTGCACAATGTATAGGTGAGAGGTTGTGAGCCAAAAAGTGTTATTTATTTACAACTCTGTTTTCCTATGTGTAACCTCACTAGTTGCTAAATTATTTTTTAAAAGGTTTTTCTGTAGCCATACTGAAATGAAAAATACATTTAAACATTTTCCAGGACACCCAAAATCCGCAGATTCTCTGGTGTTTTTTCTGCAAACCGCTTGGTAGTGAAGAGGTTATAGCCCAGGCTTTCTAGGACCAAATGACACATCCTAACATTGTTTAGTGCTTAAAGGATCACTATAGAATCGGGAAAACAAATTGGTTTTCCTGACACTATGGTACCCGAGGGTGCCCCCACCTTCAGGGTCCCCCTCCCGTGGTTAAAACCCCTTCAGTTACTCACCTTTTCCACCGCCGGGCTCCCTTACCTCTCCTCCCCCACCGACGTCAGCCCCCCCGTCTGACGTCAGCGGAGCAGAATGCGCATGCGTGGCAGTGCCGCACGCGCATTCAAAGTGTCCATAGGAAAGCATTTCTCAATGCATTCCTATGGACGCTCTGCGTGATGGAGGCATAATATGCCTCCAGCGTTGCAGATGCGCCTCTAGAGGCTGGCTTAACCCCAAATGTAAACATAGCAGTTTCTATGAAACTGCTATGTTTACAGCAGGCAGGGTTAACCCTAGAGGGACCTGGCACCCAGACCACTTTATTGAGCTGAAGTGGTCTGGGTGACTATAGTGTCCCTTTAATAATGTTCCGTTGAAAACCAAAAAAAGAACATTCAGACCCCCCAACCCAATCCCACAAAAAAACTTTGAATAGTACCAAACTGTGATCCGAGTAGCAACATTTTAGACAATACATGCAGACCTGATAACTTAGACAATACATGCAGATATGATATCGGGAGAGGGATGGGGTCGTGATTGAATATGTCCATAACACAATTGGCATCACAGAGATGATGTCTGCACACATGGTCATCATGGTGCATATGTTTTGCCAGGATGACATTCTGCCTGGCAGGATAATCAGTAAAAAACACTTTATGGAATACTGTAGCATTAGGTATACAAATGTTTATTCCTAATGCCATAGTGTCCTGTTTGCCATTTAGGTGACTGACCCCCACCAGCAGGCAGTAAAAGAGGTAGTTTACTTACCTTTTCCCCTTACAACTCCCCCTCCTTGGCTGAGATTATAAAAATCAACGATTTCAGACAATCCAAACGCAAAAAGCTGCGCTGCACCAATCAGTTTTACTCTGCTATTTAATCGGAAACGCCTCTAGTGGCTGTCTGAGTGACAGCCATTAGAGACACTTAAAATCTGCTGTTATGGTATACCCAGGTATAAAAGGGGTTAATACCGCTGAGGACGTTCACCTTACGAATGGAGAGACAGCTAACAAAAGCTCCAATCAGCTGAACAGGAACCATACAAAAATCCTTCACGTATCAAACAGCCGAACAAGTAAACCATACGAATCCTTCACGTATCAAACAGCCGAACAAGTAAACCATAAAAATCCAATACCCCCAAATACGAGACCAAGCTCCGTATTGAGGGTTAAGCAGAGATCTGATTTAATGTGGGCTACCTGCCCGGTATTTATGCAGGTCTCCCACCTGATGGACACTCCTCTCGGGGACCAGATGGAAGACTGGAACAATAAGAGTACAGTAGCCAATCACAGTGGCTCAGACATAAACACAGCCCTTTAGCTGAAATGACCTTCCTCCCTATCCTGGAGATAATTGGAAAAGTAATCCAATTATCTCCCAGGATAGAGGCGAATCGCCATTTTACATGTAACAGTAAAAACAAACAAAATGTATAACAGGAAAAATACTGAATGCACTAGGTGCAACTAACGTATCCCCAGGTGGCTTAGATCTGAGCGCACATTATTACCGAATGGCGCTCAGATAACATACATACAGTTCAATCGCCATGGAGCCAAAGTCTTTCACATAGTCTTTCGGTATACGAATGGGCTCCATGGCATAGCTATATGGGTTAAGTCCATTCGTGCAGGAAAAGTACCGAACGGGCCGGCGTTCGGATGTCGGATGACGGAGAAGGGAGGTCGGCAGGCTTCAGCGGTGTTCATAAGAAATAGTGTCCGTTTTTAGTTCCAGAGAATTCTCGACGAACACCGCTGGGCATTCGTGTGTCCAAGATGGCCGCCGCCTCATGGTCGGCATACGAACGACGACGACCCAGCTTCCCTTTGACAATTAAGAGGTGTCTGCGGTTAACCACAACGTTCGAATGGGGCCAATTGATTAACCAGCAGCACACTTCCATGCTGGGTGGCCAGCTGTTCGGCAGTTTATTCGGCAGTTAAGGAAATAAATGAACGGGGGGGTATGGACAGGTAATTAACCGAACAAACAGACGAAACCAAGGGGGAATAGAAGTAGTTGACAGACAGATGGTTCTGTCACATCTGCAATGAAAATATTGCTGTTCTGCAGAAATGCAACGTTTTCAGCTACAGTGTTTAAAAGGGGTAGAACAAGGTATTGAGATTAAGTGGTTTTGGTGCCTGTAGTGTCCCTTTAACCCCTTAAGGACACATGACATGTGTGACATGTCATGATTCCCTTTTATTCCAGAAGTTTGGTCCTTAAGGGGTTAAAGAGTTAGTCCAACCCTTTGAGGAGGGGACCATTTATGTGTAATATGCCTTACTGGGCACTATGAATTAGGTCCCATCCTTCGTTTTACTTACCTGGAATCCAGCGCGGGGCAAAGCTCTCAGCGCTGACTTCCATGTTCACTCCTAACGTCACAGGTGGCCTCATGCGACCCAATCATAGCCTTCTTATAGAGTAAACAGAATACAACAATAGGTTAGCGCTAATTAACAAACGTGAGCAGGCAGCAACCCCAACGAAGGAAACCACTCAAACCCTTCAACAAATCGAAAAAGCAATTCAAAGAAATGCAGCCGTACCCCATTTCTTTGTATTCCTTCTTATAGAGTAGCCTGTGACTGGACTGTTTCACCAGCTCAGAGCGCATGCACACAATCTGAGCTGGTGAAGGAGTGGCAAATAATTACTACTTCCTGGGCAGGCAGGAGATGCGGTGGAGCGGGGAGGGGCTGACAACTTGTGTCCTAGGTGGCAAATACAATTTAGTGGCCCATAGTGTGATTTTACCAATCCCCGCCCCCCCCCCCATTAACATGAGACACAAGCACACAAACAAAATAGATGTGTTGATAGACATACAAGATAATTCAATTGAAAGAATTAAAGTGCTATTCGATTGGGATTTACATTTGAACAGTGAGAGCAGGCCAGGGAGCAATTACCCTGCTAACTTGACACCTGGACATCACTAATCAGTAAGGGAGATCTCTACAACCAGGCAAGCATTTAGAAAAATAAGTTGTTAAAGATTTTCCAGCAGGGGAATGCTGGTAATGTATTAAATGCATTAACCTTGTATATCAAGCCATTGAGCAGTAAATGCATAACGTTGTTATATCATGCCAATGAGCAGTGGATATGTGGGGGATGTAGTGTTTGTGTAGTGGATGCAGTGCGAGTAGGAGATGTAGTGTGTTTAGGGGAAGCAGTGTGTGTATGTATATGCGAAGTAGTGTGTAAAGTGAGTGTGGTGTACTTTTGCTGGAAATGCAGTCTGTGTGTGTGGAGGATAAAGTGTGTAAGGAATGTTTTGTGCGCCCTAGTGATGCAGTGTGTCTGTGTTGAGGATGTTGTATGACATAGGTTATGTAATGTGTGTAGGGAATGTATTGTGTGTTTAGGCCGGGATGCAGTATGTTTGTGCTACATTTCCTGATGCCTTTGTTAGCAGAGCCTCCATCGGGGCATGACAACCATGACGGTTGGGCCCGGACTGCTCAGGGAGTCCATTCCCTATGTGTACATATGCTGTCTGAACACAGACTTTGGGGTTAAACCACTCCTAAAGTTGGGTCAGCATCAGGGACCTTCTGGCACCATAAAAACTACATTTCGTTTTTTGAAAACCCCTGATGTTTGTTCTAAGTGCTTTGGGTTCAAGGATAGTCATGCACTCACAGTGCATTTTTACTTATTTTTTTTAACCACAGGGTGACAGAGCCTTTGCGTCTGGTGATCAGGAGGACCAAAGGAAAATTGGGTTTTAGGTTACATAGCTGAAAAGAGACTTGTGTCCATCAAGTTCAGCCTTCCTCACATTTGTTTTTTGCTGTTGATCCAAAAGAAGGCAAAAAAAAAACCAGTTTGTAGCACAATTTTGCAACAAGGTTTCATCACACTTAAAAAAAAAATCCTCCAAGTCAGATATGTTTGCACTTGGTCGCCTAAAATGTTTAAATTAAAAGTGAAATTCTGATCGTCAGAAGACAGATAATGATTTTAATCCCATAGGCTTTACAATTTACACCCAACTTTAATTTTTCATGTAAGAATTGGGGGTGGGACCAAGCGAGTTCATGGTTCTGACTAACCCTGGAGCTCATTGCAGCCGCTTAATGTCCGTTCTGGTTAATCCTGTTCTGTCTAAACGTAATTTAAGGGCTCGTATTGCATATGTATATTAAACTTGGTTAAACAATCGAAAAGCTGAGACTTAAAACAGGAAGCTTTTATTAATTTAAAATAAGAGGAGGAGAAAAAAAAAAAGCGAAATAAAGCATAGCAATGTGGAGCAATATATTTTTTAATTATTGTAAAAACGTCGTGTAAATTACGTTTCCACAGCACACATTATATTTGTCGGCCATTGAGCGCATTACGCCATAACGCACGTAAACCGCCATTTCACAGCGACAAGAAGAGAAGCGAGGGAGTGGGCGAGGCTAGCAGCGCAGGAAGGCGAACCAATAGAATTCAAGCACGAAAAGCATTCTCGCAACCCGATTGGTCTACGCAGTAAGGGGCGGAGAGAGCGCGAAGCACTTCTCTCGGCAAGCGCCATTTTGTGTCATTGTATGGCAGGGTAAGGGAAGGGAAGGTGGTTGGTGTTTTCACCACATTTCTTTTTATTGAGGCCGCCTTCAACAACAACAACTAAGAAGTGATTCTCTGTTGCGTTGTTTCGCTAGGTTCCCTTGAGTTTATTCTCTCGGAGATGAGCTACGGTCGACCTCCTCCAGACGTAGAAGGCATGACCTCCCTTAAAGTTGATAACCTTACTTACCGAACGTCTCCCGAGACTCTCCGCCGCGTGTTCGAGAAGTACGGGCGGGTGGGCGATGTCTACATCCCTCGCGACCGATACACCAAGGAGAGCCGCGGCTTCGCCTTCGTCCGTTTCCACGACAAGCGGGATGCCGAGGACGCGATGGACGCCATGGACGGGGCCGTGCTGGATGGCAGAGAGCTGAGGGTACAGATGGCACGGTACGGCCGCCCTCCAGACTCCCACCATGGCCGCAGGGGCCCACCACCTCGGAGATTCGGGGACTATGGCCGCAGGAGTCGAAGGTAAAAATGGACCCAAATAGGTTTATGTCCCATAACATGTTTCAAATGTGTTGGTGAGGTTTTAATATTAGAGGCGTTTATAGGGTAATTTTATGCAAGGGTGCACAAATAGAGAAAGCTGTATATTAACTCGCATAGCAGATTACTGGGTTTTCAAAAATATCCGCATGGAATTTTAGGCACCCCCCTTTTTTTTCCCCTCTTCCCTCAGTTTTAAATCGTGTTTGGTGTTGCTTTTTATCCGTGAAAATGGTTTTAGATGGGTGCATTGCAGGGAATAGGCCTCGGGTTTTGCATAACCACGTGCCTCCTAAAATGGCGGCCGTTACTGTCGGCATAGTCATATGGCAGCATGGATAGACAACCTTGGCACTCCAGATGTGGATTATATCTCCCATGATGCTCTATATTGGCGTTATGGCTACAAGAGCTTTGTGCAGATGTTCTTCACAAAATCTGGAGTGGTGAAGCTTTAACACTGGTCAATAAGTGGGGGGAAATGTATAGTTGTAAACCTGCAGGGGCGTTATGTACAGAGAAACTGCTTCATTAAGCTTACTTAAAATCTATTCCTTTTTTTTTTTTTTACTGTGTGATGTCCACTATGGACTAAATGCATTGGTTATACTTGCAAAGGATGCACACAAGTTATATAGCATGTATTCTACAGAAAAGGATGCATTACGATATCTCTTCCAAGTATGTAACCTCCTTACATGCTGTTTTTAGATCTAGATACTTGTATCCCAACAGTGTTCATTTCTTCATAGCGAAATGTTGCACGTGGCCTATAAGCACCATGCCATCATAAATAGCACATGTATTGTGCTTTCAGAGGTGGATGTTACTATTTACTAACATGAGTTCTCTCTTAATCGATTCCCCTGCTTCCTCAAGCAGTGTTTATATCTCCCCTGATTCCTACACTCTTCATTACCAGTGTCTGGACACCGTGATGTTGTCACTTAATTTTTATACACCATAGTCAGCACTAAGAGCGTCGGCTGGAGTGTACATTGCTACTGCAGTGCATGTGTTGTGATTGCTAGGTTTGAGGAGCAGGTCTGTTTGTGGGTGGTCTCTTTTGTCCTCCCTTGTCAGGGTATTGTCCATACTGACTAATTCAGGGAGGAAAGCTTTTGAATTGCTTTAAAAAAAAAAAAAAACTATAGGTTTGCTAGCAAACTGGCCAGCACATGTCGATGAAATATGATGCAATTTTATTTAGTAAAGCTAACTGGCTCTTTAAAATCAGTTGAGTGCTTATAGTACCTACCTGCAGTAACCCTTTATTTTTTATGTACCCTGCAGGTAGGCCACGAATTTGGTAGTTTTCAGTGTTATTGCTACACATTTATGTACCCACATTTGCATTGTGTGCATTCTTTTTGATTCAGTTTTCTTAAAGGGACAGTGTCTACAGCATTACTTCCCACTGTTAAAGGATCACTATAGGGTCAGGAACAGAAACATATATTCCTGACTATAGTAAAAACCCACCATTTAGGTGGCTGCCCCCTCAGAATGGGTTAAAACTCTCCTTATTTTCAGCTCTCCATAGGTCTGCTGGTAGTGGGCAGGGCTAAATGCTGTTTTGGCCAATCAGCACCTCATAAAGACTCATTGAAAGTTGAGTGTGGGGATGCTGAACGCAGGGCTGCCTAGTGTGCATCCCTGGGCCAGGAAGCGGCTCCAGTGGCCACTTGAAAATACCTGAAGAGAACTATAAAACTCAACAGAATAACATTAAGCTGTAGTTGTTCTGGTGACAAGTGTCCCTTTAAATATATTACATATCTATTTGTTTCTGCTCAAGTGTGAGCAAAATCTCGCTCTTGGCTTCTACAGTTCTAGTTACAAAGTGAAGCATCTTTAGAGTTGTACTCTATCAACATCTAGCAATCAATGTCTTATTGTCTATAAGGGTGTCTCTCACCCAATAGCAAAGTGTCTTATACGTGTGTAAACGGCTGAATGTTTTAATCTTATTTTTCCCCAGCCCACGGAGAAGACGTCGAAGCCGCTCTAGAAGCAAGAGCAGATCGCGATCACGCAGCAGATCTCGTTACAGCAGGTCAAAATCCCGCTCACGAACCAGGTCTAGAACACGCTCCAGTTCAAAGTCCCGCTCTGCTCGGAGATCAAAGTCCAAGTCATCGTCCGTCTCTAGGTCCAGGTCCCGTTCTCGTTCAAGATCCAGGACTACACCTCCTGTGACAAAGCAGTCAAAGTCCAGATCAAGATCTCCAAGTCCCCCAAAGTCTCCAGAAGAAGAGGGAGCAGTGTCTTCGTAGGATAAAGGTAAAATATGTATAAATAGTATGTTCACCGCTGGGTTGAATTAAGGGCTTGCATAATGCTGCCATTACTCAAAACTAGTCAAGGGGTGGTCCTTTTGGTGCCAGAAGAGGCAGTCTTGCCATGTTTTTATATATTTTAGTTTTGCACAAGCATTGTTGAGCAGTTTCATGCAGATCTATAGCTTGTATTGTACATAATGGGATATAATATTGTGCTGTATATTGGGGTGTCCTTTCACTGATTGTTTAAACCAATATCTGCATTTTCCCCTCAAAGCTGCGGGCTCCAGTTGCTTAAGGAGTATTGAGCTGTATTGCAGATATTAAGTGGTTTTTCCTGATCCTCCAGGGACCAGTTTCTGTGGGCGTGTATTGGAGCAGGTTTGTGTCTGATGTTAAAGATGCACTATCCTGGATGCTCAGAGCCGATATTGAAAATGCAATGTTGCATAGGTTACCATCACTAAGGCAGGAATGAAGTACTGTGGTAAAGGGGCAGTCCTTATTTTGACAAACATTAATTCAAAGCATATTGGAAATTTTATGCACAAATCCTTGATAGATCTTGTCCCTGGTGTTCAATACAGTCATAATCAAAATACACTAAACTTTCTTACTGGTAAGTAAGATCTCACATTGAATTACACAAGTGTGTAGGAAACTTTGGACTACCCCTTTCAAGGATGGTGTGTCTTTAATTTGTCTTAACTGTTTGGTCTTTCAGCCGTGATTTGAAGTTTTACAAACCTCACTTACTTCACTCTGATTACCACACTTCTCTAATTTGAAGAGAATTCTCTACACCAGATTATCTCCATCCCCTTTTGCAAAAGAGCACTACAGTGTATATAGAATGCTGACTTATGCCAACTACCCTACAATAACTTCCATATTAAGCGCCAGTACTTTATGCCCCTCACTCAATGTGTGTGTATATATAGAGACTTTATTCCTTCAATTCTCATTGCTTTTCTTTCTTCTCATCACTACCAGAGTCTTCACAAAGAAATCCACGCAGGAAGTCGGAGGTGTTCTCTTTAATCCTTCAGTCTAAAGGAACAATCCGTGGAGTAAGCAACAGCTACCGAAAAGGTGGTTATTTGTATGATTTTTGGTTTTTCCTCCCTGTTTAATTTTGCCTGTTTAAGTTGAGCCCTATGTGGCAGACTTCACATTTTATGTGCCATTTTTTTGTTGCTGTTATTCCAATTTTTTGTAATTTAGTGAACGCCTACAGATTTCATTATTGGCTTGGATATTTGAGGTAACACGTTTCTGTTAATAAATTGTATCGTTTAAAACCCAAAGGGTTGAGAAGGTATGTCTATACTTCACTGAACTGTAGTTGCTTGTGTTTGGACACTACTCATCAAAGCATTGTTTAAACCAGTGACCTATTTTTACAAATGTTAAATTTCTTGTATGTAACTACATTTTAGTATCTGAACCCAAAATATGTATGTACATGTAACTGTTTCAAGGGAGTGTTTTTATTTGACTACAACTCTAATCTCTTCTCTTGTGTATTTTTGTGCACTAGGCGCAGTTGTGTAGCAGTTGAGTTATGCTGGTTAGCTGTTAAGGTGGCGTGTTGCAGTGCAGAGTGCTTGGCTGTTTCCTGTTTTCTCCCGATTGCTCCTGTGTAACGCTGCCTTGTCGTGCAGAAAAACAAATGGCTGCCCAGTTTGTTAGAATGCCTGACAACTGCACTTCCAGTCGCCCCGGTCTTGCATATAAATAATGGAGCATACAGTGAGCACATCTAGCTGATGATAAACACCTTTTTTTCAGAATCTGGTAAACCTGAGTTTCAAATGTAACATCAGTGTCATTCCAATGTATGTGTTTGCATCTTTTTGGCTTTAACATTCTGTACTATAACCACTGTAGTTAATAAACTTTTTCTTTTCTTTACAAAGACTTGTATCTGATTTGGTTTTATTCAAAGGTTTCCTTGGTAACATGGTTAATGATTATCAGTGGTCAGTATACAGCTGAGTGGTACTGTCCAGTTACTTGGTGTTTACACTTAACTACAGTACACCATTACAGCCAGTAAGCAGGGGCTCTCCACAATAGGGCCATGCATGCTGAACAGTACTGCCTGGTATTTGTTGCTTAGTTTGGTCTGCATTGTCAGTGGGAGGGTTGGGATCATACATTTCATGCATTCCACTCAATGTAAACTGAATTACCAGGTTACTTTAACAAATTTTGGCTGCACAAGGAGTAGAAGTCAGCCAATGACTGGACACTCGCTAATATAAATGGGGATTATGGGCAGGGACACAAGGCATTAATACAGTCAACTGATTACTGGAAAGAGAAGGCAGAGCTGTCTGGCGCTGGGGACCAACTTTGAAGCTAAACCTAAAAACCGTTTGGGTAAGACTATTTCTACACACTTCCATTCCTACTGTCTCATTAAGATTATGTTAAAGGACCACTATAGGCTCCCCAGAACACTTAAGCTCAATGAAATGGTCTGGGTGCCAGGTCCATCTAGTGCTAACCCTGCAGCTATAAACATAGTTTCAGAGAAACTGCTGTTTACACTAGGGTTAGTCCAGCCGCTAGAGGCGCTTCCACGACTCTCACTGAAAATCGGTGAGAAGATGCTGATGTCCATAGGAAAGTGGCTATTGCCACGCATGCACATTTGGTGCTGACATCAGCAGAGGGAGGGAGCCCGGTGCTGGAGAAAAGAGTGTTTAAGCCTTGAGGGTGGGGGGACCTAAAGACCCTATAGTGGTCCTTTAAGCTCTGCCTCTTGCCAAATATCAAGCTGAACATACACTTAAGAGATTATAAATAAAATCGGGTGGTATGTAAAAACTGTAGTGTGCTATAGCACTGACCAGGGTCTGTGGCTAGAAAGCATATCAGACTGTAGCTTGGAATATCTTCAATCTTATAGTATGTGTAATACAGAAATTGGAATAAGATGCAAGTAAATATAGTATTAATATAAACAATTTTATTCAGATTGCACTTAAGATTCCAGATATAATGGGGCATGCAGAAAGGATCATAGGCCAGCAAGATCTTAAACACCTAGTAACAAAGATGAACTGGATCCCAAAAATAACCAATTCAACATACAATGTTAGATTTATGCATGACTTTTAAATGAGAATTATTTGTAAAATATTTAATCAAATACAGGTATTCACAAGATTAAGTGACTTCATAGCTGCTGAAAACTCAATTGACGTTCCAGAACTTCCAAAGATACATCATAGAATTGAAGGTGCATATGAGACGAATACAACTAAATTAGGGTGGTGACCAGTGGCATAACTACTGCCAGTGCAGCAAGGCCATTAGGTGGACAGTGTAGTGGGGGCCATCCAATGGGTATTATTCCTGCAGCCCTTTAAGAGCCTGACAAGGCCCCTAGTGCTGGCCATTTTTATATAGAGATCTGCTGCGGAAGTTAGGAGGCACTGGCTGTCCCTCACAGACCCTGCTAGGTTTGTTTACCCCTCTGCACACACCTGTGCCAACTCTTAAGAGGTGTTATCACATTCTGTCACTTCCTAGTGCTCTACGGAAGCCGCATAGGTGGGCAATATGCATTGCGTCTTGCCAGATACTGTAGAGCAGGCTCTTCTGCTCCTCCCAGTACACGTGGATGCAGTCGGATGTAGAAAGAGAAGGGGAGTGTCTGATCAAGTGCTGGTCAGAATGGCATGTGCACATTTCCTGAACTGAAGGTAGGACTGTGGGTTGCTGTGTGGGGTTAATCTTGTGTGGCAGTGTATGTCCATACATATCACCATTCCAACACTACACATGAATGCACAACTGCATGCAAATGAAAGCATTACTTACAAACACCACTACATTCAAATGCAACAGTACATATACAGTACTACATTCAAAAACATACTTGCATTCAAGCACACATACAGTACATACTAATACAACCCTGCGAGAATGGAAGAACTGTAGATATCTTCATGGATTTTCCTTTTAGCTATCCTTGCAGTAGACAGAGTCCAAAAATATCTCTTGCACTAGGGCCCTCTACATTATATTCGCCACTAGTGGTGACAGAGCAGACAGCTGAGACAGACATAAATGAAATCCAAAGTAAAAAAAGTGCTCACTCTACTCCCTACAGCTTAAAAATCTACCAAGTAACAAATGAGTGGAACAAAACCAATAAATATGTAATTCTTTATTAAATAATACCCATGCAAGGGCCACAATATGAAACGGGTCATGTCAAACTAAACTAATTGCATTCTACTAAGTTTAGATCAGGGCATTGAAAGCTATGTGTTTGCAGATGACAAAACTTTGTAAAGTAATAAAATGTGAGCAGGATATTGCTTTACTGCAGAGGGATCTGGATAGATTGGGGGACTAAAATAGCAGATGAAATTTAACGTAGAGATATGCAAAGTTATGCACTTAGGGGTCAAGCAAATTACACCCTAAATTGTGGTGAATTAGGGATAACCACAAACGAGAAGGATTTGGAAATTGTTATAGACAACAAATTAGGCAGCAATATGCAATGTCAATCTGCAGTTGCTAAGGCCAGTAAGGTTTTGTCATGTATAAATAGGGGCATAAATTCTCTGGATGAAAATCTAATTTTGCCTCTTTGTAAATCGATGGTAAGACCACACCTTGAATATGCTCTGCAATTTTGGGCACCTGTTCTAAAGAAAGATTTTGTGGCACTAGAGACGAGCTACAAAATTGATAAAAGGAATGGAGCATTTGTTACAAAGAAAGGTTAAAAAAAATGTAATATCTTTAGTTTGGAAAAATGGCACCTGAGAGGGGATATGATAACATTATACAAATATATTCGGGGCCAGTTCAAACCATTATCTGGAAATTTATTCATAAACAGGGCTATATATAGGACACAAGGTCACACATTTAGGCTGGAAGAAAGGAGATTTCAACTAAGGCAAAGAATATTTTTTTTTTACAGTAAGAGCAATAAGGATATGGAATTTATTGCATCAAGAGGTGGTTTTATCAGAGTCCATACAGATGTTTAAACTGCAATTGGATAAATACTTGCAAAAACATAACATGCAGGGATATCATTTCTAATTAGTGGGGTAATAGCTGCTTGATCCAATGAGACATCTGACTGCTATTTTGGGGTCAAGAAGGAATTTTATCCTAGTTTATTGCAAAATTAGAAGCGCTTCAGACTAGGCTTTTTTTGCCTTCTATTGGATCAACAGCAAAGACATATGTGAGGAAGGCTCACATATGTTTCAGCAAAAAGCCTTTGTCAAAGGAGGATAGAACATGAGACTGCTTTATATATGCACCTATAAAAATGAGCAGATTCTCATGCACAGTGGGTGGCTACCCACGAGGAGTACTATCACAATGATTAAGGGAGAAGGGTTTCCTGATTTGGCATCTTCTCAGTAAAAAAATAAATTGTATTCTGAAACATTACATTGATTCCATGGTTTGTTGGTTTTTTGCCTTATTGTGTGCTTTTCCATTTAGTTTCATTGTTGCTGTCTAAGATATTCAATTTGATAATGTGATCTTTGCATTTATGTAAAGTTTTTTTGGATTAGTTGTGCTAACCGTATTCATTTGTTACATATGAGACTAAAACATAACTTTGTAAACATAAACAATATAAGTAAATCATTTACAAGCCATGATCCAAAAAACTTTAAATGTAAACTAGTATGCATACCAAGAGACAAATGGCATATTTTAGTCAATCTGTTGACAAATCTTCTAGCACTCTCATCTAACAAAATTAATTTCATCATTACTTACCCACAGTAAATATAAACTTTATATTGTTTAGGTGCCCCCACTTGCCAAATAACTGTTTAATAGATCTACCCAAAATTAATTTTATTTTCCCTTTTCATTATGGGTAAATCTGAAACCAGCTGCAAAATCTCATGCCCAAAGCATTTGCAAGCACTCAGTCTTTCCCAGCCCAGACTTTCTGAGGATGTCCAATCAGACTTCCCACTGCAGCTCAAGAAGGCAGGTGTGCGGGGCAAATGCTGCCTCTTCAGTTCAGCTCCACTGAGCTAAGCAACCAGGACGTATCAGGGCCTGTTGTCTGATTTTCTGCCAGTGTGATGTAACAAGGTTACTTTATAATAGTCCCAATTAAAAATATGCTCTTCAAACAAAGCATTTCTGCAAGCTTATTTACTTTGGTGTGCCTTTAACTTATGACCGTGAAGAACCGAAGTTGGAAATACAATTCAACAATGTAGTTATCAGCTGGCTATAGTTATGGTAATGTCAAAACTGGGGAAACCCTGGTTTCCTGGTCAGACCACCTCATCAACCTGTGGGGCAAGACTCCTAATAATATATATGTATATAATTATTATTATTATCATTTATATAGCGCCAACAGATTCCGTAGCGCTTTACAATATTTTGAGAGGGGGGATGTAACAATAAATAGGACAATTACAAGAAAACTTACAGGAACAATAGGTTGAAGAGGACCCTGCTCAAACGAGCTTACAGACTATAGGAGGTGGGGTATTAGAAATAAAGTATTTAACCAGGAAAGGTACATTCAGATTACTCTGGTTTTCAAGTACGTCCTGGGGATGTTACCTTAGCCCAACATCCAGGGGTTGTTACTATATATATATGCTTATTTGGAATACTCATAGCTCTTTTGCGCACGGTGTTCACATCTATCACCTTTCTATAATTGTAAAGCACTGTGGAATATGTAGGTGCTATATACATGCTATTATTTATTTTTAACTTCAGAGTTGTGGCAAAGCAAATAAGTAACAGTGTGCAAAGATAGAACATTATGTCGGTCTTCTGGTGGCCTCTGTATCTAATGTGATGATCAACATCTGAATACTATGCCGTCCAGGAAGATCTGATCCTGCCAAACATTGTTTGTCAGCGTGAAATGTATTGAGAGAAATGTTTGTACATGTCAGATTCCATTTGAACAGGAGGGATTCAATTGACCAGTCTGCACTGCGGATTAAAAAATAAACAAATTGGCATATATTAAACATACTCCCCCATCCCAGAAAATAGATCCTGTTTTGAAACAAAAATAGCCCACAGTATAAATGACATAGCAGTTGTTCTAACATAGAAACATTGGCTGTTTAGTAACTGTCTGTTATTATGTTACAAAACACACAAACAAAAAATGGAACAAACAGGATAAAGCTACTACAAAGAAGAGGCAGAGAAGAAAGGAGGGGAAAAAATAAAAGCAAGGTGGGTAAGTTGCTATTTAAGGGTAAGGACACATGACATGTGTGACATGTCATGATTACCTTTTATTCCAGAAGTTTGGTTAAAGGGACACTCCAGTGCCAGGAAAACAAATCGTTTTCTTGGCACTGCAGGTACCCTCTCCCTCCACCACCCATCCAATGTTGCTGAAGGGGTGAAAACCCCTTCAGTGACTTGCCTGAGACCCCAGGCGATGTCCCTTGGCGGTGGTTTCGGGTCCGCCCATGCTCCTACCCAGCGGGGGAGACCTAATGCACATGCGCGGCAATGCTGCGCATGCGCGCATTAGACCTCTCCTTAGGAAACTATTGAAAATGCTTTCCTATGGGGAATTGAGCGACGCTGGAGGTCCTCACACAGCGTGAGGACGTCCAGCAACGCTCTACCACAGAAAACCTGTGCTAGAAACCAGGAAGTTCCCTCTAGTGGCTGTCTAGTAGACAGCCACTAGAGGAGGAGTTGACCCTGCAATGGAATTATTGCTGTTTATGAAAACTGCAATATTTACAGCTGCAGGGTTAAGGGTAGTGGGAGTTGGCACTCAGACCACGCCAATGGGCAGAAGTTGTCTGGGTGCCTGGAGTGTCCCTTTAAGATATATTTGAGAGGCTGGTAAACCAAGATACTTTAGTAGCCAAGAATCCCAAATTTTTAGGTTATCATGCAAAAAGCTTGTGGTGATTATATTCCTACTGTAGCTATAGCAAACTTTGTTGTGATGTGACATATTGCTGGCACAGGGTGCTTCCAAGATTTACAGGGTTATTTACAAAAATGTGAATTTAAAGATAAGGCCAGAGCAGCCACACAAAGCACAACTGATTTTCTTTTTCCAGCTTGACTATTTAGCCTTACATTTGAAATTCTCATTTTTGTGACTAACTCTCACTGCTATACATATAGGGTGTATCCATTTGAATGATGGTTTAGGTATGTTACAATGTGGGGCTAAAGTATTTAAGAGATCAATCTATAGCCATGAGTGAGGATAGTACCATGAAATAATATGCCTGCCACACATGTAAGTGGACTACTGTCCCTATTATAAAGGTGTAGGGAAAATATATATGGGTTTAAAAAAAAAAAAAAAAATATGAGTGAGACAGTTTTATAGACTTTCTGAATGAGAAAGCAAGTGACAATTTTAGAGGTATTTTCAATAATTATGTTTTGCTCTTCTTGTGAAGAATTCCTATAGCTCTTTTGAAATGCCGAGTGTGAGAATATTGAGTTATCATGTACAGGTGGATTAGGTTAGTCAGGGGTGGATGTGAAACATACATTTATTAAAGAGGAATATATGACGTAAAGTAATTTTTTAACATAATTAATCCTTAGAGCAGGAGTGTAAAGAACACAGCCACCAAAAATTCACAGCAATTTATCAATGTTAAATTGTAAATTTATTTGAAATTTACTTCCTTCTCCAAAAATTTATTTCAAACTGGATTGGGGATGTTTATTCAGGCTCCCCTGTGAATAAGTGACACAGCCATTCACCATTGTTAGAATTATCTGATGCTGCCACGTCACCTGAAGTTGTGCGGCTCAGGATGTAGTCATCCTTGGCGTGCAAATTTGGAAGAGGCATACTAATATTTCTAACTAATGTTTATGCAGTTATAGCACTTAACTGTTTCTGAAATCAATTATAGATCACACACATATTTGTTTTCTGCTCACACTGCAGTGGCAGCCTAAAAGTGCCCAGATACCTGCAAGTTGAAAATGGTCCAGCACACCTCCAACAGTGTGCAATGATCCAAATTAGATGGTAACAGCAACATCAACATTTTTGTTTAAACTCTTATTTGGCATGATTCGATGAAGCGAAAAACTGGTGTATAAAATACAAGTACATCACCATAAACCAACAACACTGTGTATGCAAATAGTGACTTGTTTACAACATGAGCATTTTAATATTTCCAAGGTATTTGTTAAGGTATAATTAGTGCAAATAAATAGACAAACATGAGCATGTGACCAGGAAGCTGCATACCCTGACTAGACATCTAAATATCCAATGAGTTGCTTAGCAACTAAAAGGTAAACAATGGAGGCGTCTAAATGTTTAAATAGTGGAGTTTGAAACCCTTCTGGAGGTGTGCTGATCAATTTTCGATCTACAAGAGTTTGCAGCTTTGTGGGATCAGGGTTACTTACACCATCCTTGAAAGCCTGGTGTAAATGTATATATGTTTAACCGTGCATGCATTTCATATAAAGAAAAATAACAAAATACCTCCGGACTTGATATGTGGTCCAAAATTGGGCTTGTTGGTTTCTTTCCATTAAGAAACGTACAGTCACCAAGATATCTTCAAAATCTAAAACATGAAAAATTCAATAGTAGCAAATGACTTAATTTAGATCTGATTTGCTTTTGAAGTGTTCTCTCTGCATTACCTTTTGGTTCATAGAAGACATCAGATCCCAGAATTATGTCAATATTAGGGAGGTCAAGCAGATCTGGAGATATTTCTCCCCACGTAAGCCCAATAATAGGAATTCCAGCAATATTATTTTGCTCACAGCTTCGAAGACCGTTCTGTAAACACTGTGGCAGCTCTGCTGAATCAGATAAGATAACCTTTGCTCCACATTTTGCAGCTACTACTCCAGGGAGACTAACACCTGCTCCAACCTGTAAGAAAATGGTATACTTATTTTAGTAGAAAGCAGACATTTGAAAAATCACATTATTATTTATATAGCGCCAGCAAATTCGGTAGCGCTGTACAATGGATTCCGTAGCGCTGTACATCAGATGTAATCAGATTAATGCAAATAAATATCACACCGATTACCTCCAAAACCATCTTGCCATTAAGATCTTTGCGGTGGAACCATATGAATTGTGCAAGAACTACAGCACAAGGCCAAACGTGCATGCCATACTGGAAATCCAACACCTGAAAACACAAAAATGTGCAGATTTCAATAGAAATTAGTACTTTTATAAATTAACCTTGCTCCATCCTCCTGCCTTTCAAGCAGATACCAGGTCTTTTCCTGGTTTGCTTAGAGCACCTGTCTTACAAAGGCTTTTCATTGAGCTGCATTGCTCAGTCTTGAGATTGGACAGCCACAGAAAGTATAGGTTTGGGTAGGATGGGATGCTTGCAAAGAGAACTGCAGCTTCTGCATAATGCAATAATTAAATACTTTCATATTTTCATTTTGGGCAAGGTTAATAAATAGTCATTTTTTTTTATTTGTACTTGGGCAGTGGCATGTCACTTTAAGTGTAACAAGTGAAAACTGATGGGACCCATAGAACGGAATGAATGAGGCATGTTTATTAGACTATCTAGCCGCTTTTAGGCTATTGCACTTGGCAGCAAAATACAACGCCAATCTGCATATGATAAAGATGCATTGATCAATGTATCTTTACGAGGCAAGTTCAGCACATCCACGCAGAGCGTCGAGATGCTGCACGTAAGTGCTGCCCTAGTGCCACTAGAGGTGTTCCTAGGCAGTAATGCAAACACTGCCCATTTACAGTGCTCAGTCTGCGGAGACAGGTTATAGACACCAGAACCACTACATTAAGCTGTAGTTATTCTGGTGACTATAGTGCCCCTTTAACCCCTTAAGGACCAAACCTCTGGAATAAAAGGGAATCATGACATGTCACACGTCATGTGTCCTTAAGGGGTTAAGCTGAGGTTGTATTGATGCCTAATGTCCCTTTACATCCCAGGGCTTAGTGAATAACCCAATAGTATTTTCTAGTTATGTATTATGATAGGAATAATGGATCACAAGTGAAGTTCAATTAAACAATTGAGCGGCTAAGGGCTTTCTGTGAAAGCAATATTTTCTTGAGGCTTGCAAAGATACTTAAAATAAATGATAGATATACCAGCTGGAGTGTTTGTTATATTCTTAGCTTTTTTCTGTTTGCAAATATATAGTGTCAGTTATGGCGTTTGCCCTAAATATAACACTCTTATCTGGCAATGAAATGGTTAAAGATGGCAGCCTGCAGGTGCGCACGTAGGCCATGGTGCACACATTGGAAATGTGTAATCAAGGCACCTCAGGTATAGACACCCGGAGCTCAGCTCGTTTTTCTTCCTCCTCTAAATCCAAGAATGTGTATTCTCGGATGCCAATCTTCGGCCTTCCGTCCGACATCCTAATTCAACGCTAACAGAAGATGCTCTAAGTTACAGTACATGCCTGCAACACGTGGGGGCCCTTTAAATGCGCCATGGGAGAAATGGCAGAGCTCGGCGGCCATATTGGTAGAGGCATGCCTTCACATTATAGTGCAAAATAAATTAACGATGAGGGAAAACATCCACCACATATCTGGACAATTTATTTTATCTTACTAATACAGCACTGTACGTCCAAAAAAAAACACTACAGCATTGACATTACTTCATATTAAAAAATCATAAAAAAAAAAAAGCTAAATACTTCCTAAACCGACTAATATTCAACGGCCACGCTTGTATGTACAAGTAAAAAAAATTAGTGCATGTATTTAGCACAATATATGTCACAGAGCGTCTAGTGATATCACCAGACTTGCTGCCTAAGTGTCCTTCTGACCTCCTCAAGATGGCTGCCCGGTCATGACAACACAGGCGGGAACGTGACCCTTCCTGGTCGCTTGCAGCCTATAGGACATTGTGAGTGAAGATTCTGGAGAGCGGCGGGTACCGTACAAACACCGGAGGGGGAGAAGAAGTGAGTGCGCGGTGCGGCCGGAATGAACCACAAGAGTAAGAAACGAATCAAGGAGGCGAAGCGCAGTGCCAGGCCCGAGCTGAAAGACTCCCAGGACTGGTGCCGACATAACTACTGCGAGCAATTCCGACTGAGCCATAGCAGCGTGCTGGTGAGGCGCAGGGTGTGATTGGGCCGGTAGTGATATAGAGTGAGACAGATAATGGAGGAGGCACTCCGTGTCAGAGTTTGGGGATGCAATGTATCAGGGGGTCAGAGTTTGGGGATTTAATGTAACAGGGGGTCAGAGTTTGGGGATTCAGTGTATCGGGGGTCAGAGTTTGGGGATTCACCGTATCAGGGGGTCAGAGTTTGGGGATTCACTGTATCCATGGGTCCGAGTTTGGGGATGCAATGTATCAGGGGGTCAGAGTTTGGGGATTCACTGTATCAAGGGGTCAGAGTTTGGGGATTCACTGTATCAGGGGGTCAGAGTTTGGGGATTCACTGTATCAGGGGGGTCAGAGTTTGGGGATTCACTGTATCAGGGGGGTCAGAGTTTGGGGATTCACTGTATCAGGGGTCAGAGTTTGGGATTCACTGTATCAGGGGGTCAGAGTTTGAGATTCACTGTATCAGGGGTCAGAAATTCACTGTATCAGGGGGTCAGAGATTTGGGGATTCACTGTATCAGGGGTCAGAGTTTGGGGATTCACTGTATCAGGGGTCAGGATTTGGGGATTCACTGTATCAGGGGTCAGAGTTTGGGGATTCACTGTATCGGGGGTCAGAGTTTGGGCATTCACTGTATCGGGGGTCAGAGTTTGGGCATTCACTGTATCAGGGGTCAGAGTTTGGGCATTCACTGTATCAGGGAGTCAGAGTTTGGGGATGCAGTGTATCAGGGGGCTCAGAGTTTGGGGATGCAGTGTATCAGGGGGGTCAGAGTTTGGGGATGCAGTGTATCAGGGGGGTCAGAGTTTGGGGATGCAGTGTATCAGAGCATCATTTGGTGTTCCCAGGCAACCAGAGCTTTCAGATCAACCAATATGAGCTCAACCTTTATATTTAAAATAAATAAAATAAGTACAGTAACTCAAGTGTAATGAATGAAATGGTTTGAAAACTTGTAAGAGATTTCTCACCATTTTCTCACTATAGCTTTAACCCCTTAAGGACCAAACTTCTGGAATAAAAGGAAATCGTCGTGTGTCCTTAAGGTGTTAAACACATTACCAAGTACTTACCCCTCTTAAATAAAACCTCCACAAATGATAAAAATATTGAAGAAACTGATGTATCAGATTGTAGGTTCTGAAAGTTTAGGGTATTGGTGTAGGCTAGGGTGTCTCTGTATTGGATTTTAGGGTATTAGAGGTTTGTTTAGACTTATCGGTTTAAAACCTTATATTTAGTACCACAGTTTATAGGGTATCCTATTTTGGTCCTCCATGTGCTCGTTCCCAGGGTGTCACGGTTTAGGATAGTGATAGTGAACTTTTTTTGAACCAGTGCCTAAACTGAATCAGAAAACCAGCTTATTTATTTCAAAGTGCCAACACTGCATTAAAACCTAAAAACGTAACACTTTTTTAAAAATATGTTTCGAAAACCACTTCATACAACTGTCTAAAATAATAAACCATTTGTTTGTTTTTTTCCTTAGGAGGAAAACACTATTAAAGAGATTTTTAATGTTAGTTTTTTTTTATTGAACAAGCTTGACTACCAACGCTAATAAATAATAATTAAAAAAAATTTTTATAATAAAAAAGTTATATTTACTTAAAAGTGAATTGGTAAAGGAATTGCAAAATGTAGTCTAAAATAGCTGAAGTGAGAAAAGAAAAATTCCCAAATTCAACAAATTGTTTACCCCTCCCTAAACAACTGCCTTAGCCTTCTGTAATTCCTTGGCTACGTCACATTTAAGTGAATAGATCTGTAAATCTGCTACTTATAACTATCAGAGTGCACAGTAACTGACATGAGTCAAATGTATTAAACTCTGTACATAGAAAATGAATCGGCATACGTGCAATTTTCTCCTCCCTAGAGCAAATGATGTGAAAGGTCCCCTCACTCACATGAGCAGTCACGTCTGCCAGACAACTGCTGCATACTCTGCCCTCTGAAGTTCGCAAACGCTGGTTTAGGGTATTGGGAGTTTATGTTGTCAGTGTATCAGTATTTAGGATATATGTTTAGGATTGTTTTACAGTTTTAGACACAAATATGCTAGTGCCCAGAGCTTTCAGATCAACCAATACGAGTTCAACCTTTTTATAAAAAAAAAAAAATTGCAATAAAATAAGTACAATAGCTCAATTGCGATGAATGAAATGGTTTGAAAACTTACAAGTAGTCTTACATAGTCTTACAAGCTGTGTTACTTAGTATTTGTGCAAGATTTGACCGGTTTCTCACTATAGTTTTGAACACGTTACCAAGTACATACCCCTCTTAAATAAAACGGCCACAAATTATGAAAATGTTGAAGAAACTGATGTATCAATCTCAGTATAGTAAAATTTAATTTATTTTTACACATGGTGTTAAGCTAGTAAAAAAAAATAAAAAATAGAGAATACACACTAGCAAGCCTACGGTATGACCGTCTTCTATAGTGACATGTGTCTTTAAATATATTTTACCTGTGATGGAAAAAAAAAAAGTGACAATAGCTATGCAACTCAAGGCTTGACAATATAGCACAGTTAGAAGTGTTTTCCACCTCTCACACACTACATCTGCTGGGTATCCAGAACACATAGTGTGTTACTATAGCACACACATGCCATTTAGCACTTTACATCTTCAACACACACTTAAAGGGTTACTTCAACCACCATGACCACATCAGTGATTGGAAGTAGTCCTGGTGGTAGGTGTCAGTATGTGCAGTGTTTCAGCTTGAAATACTGCACATACTGAGATATTTGTAATTGTGTACTGGGGATTAGGTGCTCGTGCTGGCAATGTCAATTCTGTGCATAAAATACACAGAGCGCCTGCAGGGGAAGCTAGCCCTTCCCTCCCATCCTCCTCTCTCTGTTGCACATTTGTTTTAAAAATAATTTCTCCACTCATTTTCTCCCTTCGCTGGCCTGGAGCATGCATACGCTCCGAGCCAGCAAAATGTTCCAACCACAGCCTTATCTGTGAGAAGCCTGTGATTGGACCTTGCATGGCTCCAGTTATGTCAGGAGGCGGCGCAGAAGCTAAGTAAAACAGGTTATACTAACAGTTGATAGCGGAGACTTTCCCCATGGTTCCCAATAAGGCATATTACACTGGAAAGGTCCCCTCTTTTTAATAGGTTATAGTAACCCTTTCATCTACCTCTTCCAGTAGTAGTACTTTGCAGATGCCACTCAAGGTGAATGACTGGGTGGCATTACCAGTAAGTGTGGGCAGCCCATGTATGCATTATGCTGCATTTCCCTGTGGGGGAAAAACACTCCTATCTCAAAGCATCATCCAGGTGCAATGTACCAATTTTATTTGTCTCCATAGTCAACTCAACATAATGATAAGAAGCTTAAGACACATGTATTATAGGTGGAGGTTATCCGTGCTTTGGTATAGTCATTAAACCACAGAGGTGGAGGATATCCGTGCCTCGGCAGTCAGTAAACTGTGCCCTCTGTGATGTAAGATGCCAGGGAATAAGGGATAATGGGTCATAGTGTTAGGGAGTAACATCTCGGGTTTCCATCTAAGGTTTCTGGGGCTGCTAACTATGCCTGTGATGGTATGCTTTTGCTGTCAGCTTGGTACCTCACCTTGTATTGCGGTCCTCGGAGGCTGTATTAGTCTCTTGGGATGGGTGCTGCGGTACCTTACTCAGGTGCGGTGTTGACTTTTCAGTGAAGTCGGTAAGTGACAGCTCTTTGTTGGCCCTGGATTTGTCTGTGGGTGTCTTTGAGTCTGGCTGCTTTCTCCTCTGGATTCTTTGTTAACAGTCTCATACTGCCTCAGTTTGTGGAGGAATTACTCCTGGTCGTCCATGGAGGTCAGGGTGAGCACCTGATTTCCCAGTGGCACTATGAGGGATCTGTCTTCCCCCCCACCTGTATCTTATTTTATCTTCTCCTAGCTTTTTGGCCACTGGTGCCAGCTGTCTCCGTTCTGTCAGGGCTGTGAACGGAAGGTCCCCATAAAATGTCAATGTGCTGCCCACCAGCTGCATGCTGCCCAGTATCCAGGATCAGGCCATGAAAGCAGAGCGGGTTGGTATGTCTTTTGTGACCGCTATCACATCTCTGGGAGCTTCCGCTGGTGCTGTTGCAGCTTTGCGGATCCGAAACGCGGTGAGTATTCTGTCGAGCTCTGGAATCCCCCCGACTCCCATTCTTGCTATTAGGCTGGATATGTACTGCAGCAGGGTGTCATCCCCCACGGTCTCTGGTATGCCTCGGATGCGGATGATCCGCCTCCTATGTCGGGCTTCTAGCGTTGTAACCGTCCGCGTGAGCTTCTGGACCTGCGAACAAAGGTCCTGCACTGTGCCACTTGAGGCCTGTTGTTGGGCGTCTCTGGTGCTCTCCCTGGCCTCCACCTCAGTGAGCCTCTTTTTGATGTCACCCACCTCTTTCTTTGTGGACCGCAGGTCCGCCCTCCACACCTCCCGCATTTCTTCTAGGAGGTCTGTAATGTTCTTCTTCGTTACAGGGGATGAGTCTTCCTCCGATTCAGATGTTTGGAAGTGGGCCCCATCTTCTGCCTGATGCGAGGTATGGCTGTCTCTGTCCTCGTGTGAGTCATCTGAGGCTTCCTCCTCGCTGGGCGCCATCTTGGCTGGTGCTGGCGGACCAGGCCTCGTGAAGGAGAGCCTTATGTTGGGCATATTAGGTGGCTCTGGCGGACGGTACTTCTTGTTTTTTCTCCCCATTTTTGTCTCTGTGTTGGGGGGTTCGTTTGCTGCCGGTTGAGGGTCCGGTTTGCGGGTTTTAGTCTTATTTTAGGTCTCTGGTACGGAGCTTCACAGGGACGCGTCCGTCCGGTTAGCTAGTCGGCCACGCCCCCCGAGACACATGTATTATAGAATTAAAACACAATTACACTTTATATCTTTTTTGCTGATAGTGTTCAAATTCCCCTTGTGAAACCTTTTACCATTCTCTGTTTCTATCACCCACCTCTTCAGTAAAATTGTCCTCACAGTGGGAAAAGATATTTATTTGTTCTTGAAGTCTATAAAATGGAGGCTGTCAGTTGTAAGGGTTTTAATTTTTTTAAAGAGTTTTCTAGTGTAAAATGTCTGCTACCATGGTGGTGTCATTAAAGGGAGATGAAGAACTGATGAATATTTACCGAAAGCTCTCAATTTTCTGGAAATTGGACATATTCAACAGCTGGCATAATAAATGTGTACATAAATTCTCAAATGAGACTGCAGTAAAATGTGGAGGCTGTAATGGGCAGATGACAGAAAAACAAAAACAAACACATTTTTGCTTATAACAATGTTTACGCTGACAGAGGGGATCTAAGTAGGGTTTTGATTTATACCTGGGCCTCCCTGGATTTAACCCTGCTTATGTCAGTGTGGGGACACTAAATATGGCCTTAAACTCCCTGGATTTAACCCCACTCAAACCAAAACATTAGGACGTGTCAATAAGAGCTAACTTTTTTTTAAAGCCCAGGCTTTCTAGGACGTAATTCATGTCCTTCAGAGATTAAAGTGAATTTTAAACCAATACAGTAGCCAAACTGAAAATGTAACTGGCTTGGATACATTTTCCAATTTTTATGAGGTATTTTGACCTAAAATGTAAGGTTCGTTCCTAATTCCAAATAGTTTGCAAATTGGTATATAATCATGTAGGATGGCTTTGAAAAAATTAGTAAGGCACCTGCACCAAAATAGATGTATAAAGTATAAACAATGACCATATATAAAATTACGCAAACTCATACAATATCTGCTGGAAGATCAGGTAATTCTATATGTGGGTCATAAAAAAGGAATGAAATAAAACTGTGAAGTTAAAAACAAAAAAATCTTAGTTATTGGAGATCCACTTAATCTAGACCGAGGTTCTGATAATGTTAAAGTGTCACTTTGCAGGTTTGCTTTTACATTTTTTTTATTTCTTTTTGTAACTCTCCTTTTTTTTTTATTTATATTAAATTCACCTTAGTTTTCTAGTTATGCATTATAAAAAGTAGGGACTACTTTTATTCTCGGGAGGAATGTGGCAAGTTTGGCAATTGGCGGAGCATAAGCAAAGATATATTTTAGTTGCTAAGTTAATTTACCCACAATCCATCTATCAAAAGAATCCCACGGGGGGGTACAAAATGGCGGTACCCAGGTATTAAAACTCAAAACCAAGAAGAAATGATAAATAAAGGCAATTGGCCACAAGGAGTGTATAATCATTAAGACACAAGGGGCATAAGGAAGTTAAATCTGAAAGAAAAAAAACACGAGAGGGCTGCTTTGATTTTGTTTGGTTACCCCTAACACATCATCGGTGACCTGTATGAAAATATGAGCTACCTGCAGGTTGAGCGTGATAATCACATAGATACTTATGGTATTGCTTGTGAAACCCTGAAACTGTGAGGGGGACAGTTAGGGTATAACTTTTTTAACCTCTTACTTACAGGATAATGTCGAACGAGTGGATGCTGCAAACCTTACTTTAGAGGAGTTCATTGAGCGCTTTGAAAAACCATACAAACCAGTTGTAATTCAGAATGCCCAAAGTGGATGGCCAGCCCATGAAAAGTGGACAATAGAACGGCTTAAGCGCAAGTACCGCAACCAGAAGTTCAAGTGTGGAGAGGACAATGATGGCTACTCTGTAAAAATGAAGATGAAATACTACATAGACTACATGGAGGGGACACGGGATGATAGCCCTTTATACATTTTTGACAGTAGTTATGGAGAGCACCCGAAGAGGAAGAAGCTGCTTGAAGATTATGATGTGCCCAAGTACTTTCGCGATGATCTTTTCCAGTTTGCTGGTGAGAAACGCAGGCCACCCTACAGGTATAACTGTTACTGTATTTGTCGTACCTAAATCAGTGATGCTATCAATTAAACTAGCAGTGTTGGTATTGTAATTGTAACTGTTCACAGTTGTAATTTAGAATATAATTAACCTTTGCTTCCGTTTGTTTTTCTTATTTTATGAATATTGATGTTTTTGTAAGGAATGAAAAGTTCCAGGTAGAAAAACTTTTTTGGTTTGAGTCCACCACTGCAATTGCAAAGTTTATTCAAATATTGAGATGATTGTGGTAATCACACTAGACCTATTACAGCTATTTTTGGTGGCATTTTTACTTACAGATTTAAATTATTTATGACCATGTTTCCTCTATGCTTTTTCTATAGGTGGTTTGTGATGGGTCCCCCACGCTCGGGAACTGGTATTCACATCGATCCACTAGGCACTAGTGCGTGGAACTCCTTGGTACACGGACACAAACGCTGGTGTCTCTTTCCCACTAATACCCCACGTGAGTTGATCAAAGTGACACGGGAGGAGGGTGGTAACCAGCAGGATGAGGCCATCACATGGTTTAATGTTATCTACCCACGCTCTTTGCTTCCAACATGGCCTGCTGAATTCAAGCCCCTGGAGATTTTACAGAAGCCAGGAGAGACTGTGTTTGTTCCAGGTAAACGAGAATCTCCAGCCCCATGAAAAGGCGCATATATACAAACTTTTTATTTTTTTTTTTTTTTGTGTGTGTGTGTGTGTATAGACACTGTCATCAAAAAGCTAAATGTATTTATTCATTTAACATCACTAATCTTTTACATGTTTTATCTTCTGAAAATTAATTTCCAGATATGAGTTTAGAATAATAAAAAGAGTGTAATGTTTTCATTTAAGTAAGCTAAGTTTAGTTGGAATTGCTACTTGAAGATCTCTCAGTGCACAGGAGACCATTTTGGAATTGCATCAGAATATTTATTCCCAGGTGACAGTTACTCATTTAGAAAGAGAAAACAAAAGCTGCAGAAAACATATCAGATCAGAATCTGATCTGTAATTTGCAGAGAGCTTACAGTTTTCCACCGTGCAAGAAATAAGGAATGATTCTTTGAGCTGTCTGAGACTCACCCCCACGCCCTGAAGGACAGGAGGAAGTCTGTTTATTTTTTTTAAATTGAAAAAAAAAAAGCTTAACAAATTTTAAAAAGGTTTGAGAACCAGGTATACATATTATGACGGTACTCAGACATCTCATTTTGTTTTTTTTAACAAATTATTCACATTGATATAGTGTCACCATATTCTGCAGCTCTTTTAAGATTGTGTTTCTCATTTCAGAATACTTCGAACCACCCCCCAATAACGACATCTGTCAGGGGTTGACAAAACGAAATTTTTAAAATATTTTAATTTTTTTTTTTTTTTTTTTAAATCATGGGCCTGCTGAGACTAGGGCACCACAGCTGGTGGGCACAAAAACTGCTCAGCCTCTGTATGTGGATTTAAGAAGCAGCAATGTAACCGAACGAGATTGTGAAGGGCAATAGTTGGTCAAAATGGTAGCTGGCGATACCGTTATTGCCAACCTTGCTGTGTGTATGCAAAATCTTGTACCCTGTTCACCCCCATGCACACATAAAAGTAGTGTAGAACAAGAGAGAGAGGTGTTGGGGACAGACCCATCTGTAATTTCCTTCCCATACTTTAAAACATTCAGTAAGTTAACCTCAATGAAAAATGTTAATTTGTTGCAGTACTAAAGCTCTGTCCTGAGAAAAGTCCCAGTCTGGGACTGAAACGTTGACTATTGCATATAGATTTATGCTATAATGAAGTTTTATTTTCCAAATACCCAAAGTGCTGGTACTATTGTGTATTGTTGTATGAAGTGTTGCTGAGCACAGGACATTATCTATATAGTAAGGACGGAGTGCAGGACTGATATATATTTGTGTTTATTACATATACATATACTACAAATGTATTTATAACAAAAATAATAGTAAAAACTGTTCATATTGTTATCACATTTTCTTCAAATCCATGGCTGCTGTAGTTTCTGCCCTGTTCATCAATCATTATGATCCCAAAACATACTTGGGCAGTGTTGAGCTTATCCAATAAATATCTGCACAGTAGTTCTTTATGAGCAAAACAGGAGTTTGTGGTAGTTGTTGTTGTTTAATTGTCCATTTTCTACAAATGCTTCAATTGCTTTTGTTTTATCTCAAATAATAGTTTGTGTTTAGTTATTCCACTCATTGCCTATGTCGATTTATAGCACTATGTATGAAAGATTAGAGTGTTGTCGTATTCTTGTCTTCTTTTATATCTTCAACCTCATTTACTGAATTCCTATGATTTCTGATATTATAGAAAAAAAAAAAAAAAGTTAGACCCGCACTATTTTTGTAGACCCATATAATGCAGCAAATTTATAAGATTTAAAGTTACCCTAGAGGTTACTAATGGCTCTCTGTCTTTAGGTGGTTGGTGGCATGTTGTATTGAACCTGGACACCGCCATTGCTGTTACTCAAAATTTTGCCAGCTGTACCAACTTTCCTGTTGTTTGGCACAAAACTGTAAGAGGGAGACCAAAGCTTTCAAGAAAATGGTACAGGTGAGATGGGGATAATTATGAATCTTATAGAGTAGGATTGGGGGAACAACATTAATTGCACTGCGCTAACCTACCCCAAAAGTTTCAGGTGATCAGTGTTGTACAAGTTGGATGAGTTTTCTTTGATAATGAGGAAGCCTTAATTCTACATAATCAAGATTTTATTGTCCCTGGATGCCAAGAAGAGCCCTGTTTAATATTAAGAAACTCTTGAACTTTTTAATATTATAAAACAAGGCAAAGCTAGGCAATATGAAAGTAACATAACTACTACAGCTGACTTGTAGTGGTTATGTTGTTCAGAGCACCCCTTTGAATGATCAAAGTAACCGCTATATAGGCTGAAAAAAGACATGCCTCCACCTAGTTCAGCCTTTCTTCAAAAGAAGGCAAAAAAAAATCTTAAGTAATGCCTAGTTTTGTAATAAACTAGGAAAGAAATCTTCTTGAACCCAGGATTGCAGGTCAGATCTCTTTTAGGATTCCTTTAGCCAAAAAAAGCTCAATCAAAATACAAAAATAAAAAAATCTGTGCAGTAGTTGGTCATTGCCCAACTACCAAAAACTTTGTTTAATATAATTTGACTTTTATTACGGCATGTGTAAAACCATACCATTCTCCATCCTTTTCTGGAATAACTGATGAAGTTTTAGGGCCTTTACTATTTATGAGACATCACAACTCCATTAATTTTTTTTTGCTCCTCACATTTCCAGGATTCTGAAACAGGAACGCCCTGAACTAGCTGCCCTGGCAGATTCGGTAGATCTACAGGAATCAACTGGCATTGCGTCCGATTCGTCCAGTGATTCTTCTAGCTCTTCATCATCCAGTTCTTCAGAATCTGGCTCAGAGGTGAGATTTCAAACAACAAAATGGTCACTCCAAATTTACAAAAGAGAATATTTTACTCCTGAACCCAACATCCTTTTTAGGTTTTCATTTTGCTTATTCATAGTTTATCGAATTTTTAATTGAAACCATGCATTTGAGAATACAATGCAGAAACTGTGCAGGTTAATACACAATAACAATGCTAAACACAGAATACAAAGATCCTAAAATAACAGAACACATAACCCATCTACAATAAATGCATCAACACTCCCTTTTATAGGAGATTCATTTGAGAGAATACTTGGCAGAGAAAGATAATGGCCAGTGCCAGCAAGCCAACTTCCATTTTGGGCTCTGAGGTTAATTAACTATGACAGTTCAGTGGTAAAACTAAATCCTGTGGCAAATAGATTGGCACCAAGTGGAAGTAACATGATTATCAGCTCTCAAACATAGGATGAGACCTCTAAACGTGTTTCATTCTAGATTGATATTTGCAGTCTCATTTTATGTAATATTCCATGTGATACATACATCTCTTATTTATAATCTTACCATAAATGGTCGCCCAATCTTGGATGGTAATGTTTGTCTGGTTCAATATAGTGCTGGAATGAGAACGTGTTTTATTTTTTTTTTTTTTATTCTTCAAACTGCTACAAGAAATGTTTTTTTTGTGTTTGTTTTTTTACTAAAATGAGACTTCAAACTAAAGTTCACATTTAGGGCCGGAGTAGCTTTGTGATTTTTACCACTTATTCCCTGTAATCATTGCTACTGTTTTACTGCAGAAATTATTTTTCTTCATTACGGAACAGAACTTAAGTAGCCAAAACAAAAACAGTCCTTTGTGGGGGGAGGGGGGGCGGGGTGCGGGGGCGTTTCCCTCCAAGAATATTGTTTTTTACTTATGTGAATTTTGTTATTCACTGGACTTCCCAGAGATATTTTCATTGTAATTCTGTCTTGTTTTAGCTGAAGCATTTTATTCTCTGTGTTCTGCTGCAATTAAATTTCTGTTCTCTGAGAACATTATCTGTGCTTCTATGTGTGCCTTTCATGATTCTTCTCTCCTTCCATTACCGTCTTACTGATTTGATAACCTGTGGTCTGATTTCTCTCCCTCCACTCTGCAATCTTTTATAGGATGACTCTAGCTCTGGAGCAGAAGCAATGACTCACCGCAAGAAGAAAAGAAGAACGTGCAGTGGGATGGGAAATGGAGACAGCTCCACCCAGGATGACTGCGTGAGCAAAGAGCGTAGCTCTTCCAGGTGACACTATAGTCACAGCCAGACCAGCGTTGACATAGAGTTGGTCCTCTGTGTCCATTAATGCCATCCCTAGCCCTCTGTTGCAGTACACCCACAGAGAAGTGTCAGTGGCAAGGTTTTATATAACAGTTCTCACACGCAAAGACTTAAAAAAATAAAATAAAGCAAATATTTTTAGTTCCTACCCTTTCCATGCCATGGGTGTGAAAAATAATCTGGCTTTTAAATTAATTTCAGATGGTCCTTCCAATGATAATGCTATGGGTTTGAGATTCTTAAATCATCAGAAGAGCTTCCACAAATATTAGGCCTGGAAGGTTTAATTTAGAGAAATTAAATGGTTATGGAGAAGGCCATCCCAGGTCCTTGATATTACGTTCTCTTGGATTTATTTTGACACACTTTTTAAACCGTGGTGGGTTCAAGACTGAAACTGGAAGATTGAAGATCAAGAACACCTAAAAATGTAACTGTGAATCATAATTACCTCCTTTGATACCATAGGTTTCTATTTACACTTAATTGAATTCCCTGATCTGCATGTTGAACACAGACATTTGAGATAACTTTATTATCTGCTGCTACAAAACCCCACTGTCATAAAAAAGAAAACTGCCCACATGGAAAAATATGCACATCTAGTCATTTTCAAGTGAAGGTGTAGATGTATGCGCAATTTTCTGCATAAACCATTTTCCATGCGTCCATTTTTTATTTTAGAGTGAGCAATTTTCTGTGTGGGCATTTTTCTTGTGCATATTTGACAGTAGGTTTATTTCTGTGGGCAATCATTGCGCTTCTTTTCATAGATTCAAATCCGTGGTGACAACATTAACTGTAACATTGGAGACTCAGATTGCACTCCAGTTTCTTAAAAGGGAACCAATTTACCCCTGGAGCAAGGAAAGCTGAGCATACTATGTAGAAAGTAATCACAGCATTGGTTTTGATCCATTTTCAATCTTCAGTTACGTATTGGTAACAACTAACCTCAGAGTAATGTCTAAATGTAAGCGCTTCAACTGTTGTGAACTACATTTCCCAAGATAACTAGCTTATTCTGTAGAGGTGTTTTTTTTTTTTTTTCTTGTATATCTTCAGTCTTCTCCTATTTTTGTTGACATTGCAATGAAAGCAATGTTTTTTTTCTCATATTTTACTCTACATACTCGCCAGTAGTGAACAAAGATATGATTCGGTTTAGTTGGTAATGACCACTTTCATTGTCATTTCACTGTCACTTGTTTTCAGCATTTACTCATGGTGACTTTTTGTATTGTTTTTTTTTTTCTCCAGCTATTCTTTCTCTACATGTTTGACATATTTCTTTCTAAAATGTGCTTCTATGTTTTTCTCTTCAATTGTTCCCACATTTCCAATTTGGAGCTCCAGTGTACATTCTCTAGATTGGCTTTTGTATAAAGATATCTATTTTATCTATCTGGCATTGTGGTAAAATATCAGAATACTGTTTGGCATGTTGTTTTATCAGGTGCACTCTTACAGACTCGTTGACCAGAGGATTTATTTTTTACAGGAACACTCCTAGTACTATAACCACCACCACAGTACTATAGCACTAGTAGCAGGCGTGACTTGACACATACCCGGGTAGGTGTTTAGACGATTTACTGATAGTTTGATAATTCACTTAGAGTACACCGGAAACCAGACCCAGCTCCAGGACAGTCAAATTTCCTGTATGGAGTTTCTGTTGGCTCCCATGAACTAAGCTCTGTAAAGCTGGCTTATTGACCAAGAGTGTCAGCTGTGTACTCTCAGCCAATGAACTCAGCGCTGCACTGATGACTAACTCAATGCAGAAAGCTTCTGCTTCTCCTGAAGGAGGTGATTGGTGCCTGGTGGCCCCAGGTAAGGTGTCAAACTGTTTGCCACTTATTGCTTACACAGGGACGGTGCCAGGGCACACTTGGTAAAATAACCACAAAAACACATTATGGTGCTTACAGTGTTTCTTTAAAAACAGTATAGATAGTTTAGAGAGATGATCTGTGTGTAATGTGTTTGTTTCTCTGAAGGAGAATGCTCTCATTGTAAGTAATCGGTCGGTTTTAGAATGGTGGGACTTCTTGCATTGCAGGACTTGGCTCAGGAGAAGTAATGTAAGCTCCTGATAAGAAGCTTCCAACATGCTAGAGTAGACAAGGAGCAGTGCCTGGTGGACACAAGCTAAGAAATCAAACTGTTCTAAAACAATTTTACTATTTACAATGGGAGGCTACCAGATTACTCCTGGAACCATAAAAGAACACTACAAAGTGAAATTGCTGGTTATGTTGCTAGGAGTCTTCCTTTAATATTTCCAATTATTTCTTTAAACTATTAAATGCTGATAAACTCCAATGGACATCCTTTTTTTTTTTTTTTTTTTTTTTAAAGCACAGAGTCAAAGACAAAAATATTCCAGAAGACCTTTTAAAAATGTATATAGCTCTGGAGAAGGTGCTATTTCAGTACAACCGTTTCAATATTATTTTCCTTACACTGGACCCTGCAGGGTCACTCTGAGTTAAGCTGTAGGATGTTTTTAAATAATTATCGTGTTTTTTACCAGGGAGTTATCATCTCTCTGGTACATTTGGCTCATCTATTTATTTTTCCCAAAAAGTTAGAGTACATTCTAGCAAAGAGTTATGGGAAATGTAGTCCAGCAGAAGCCGGTACAACTGGAAATGTCTGTGATGGTTTTTACTAGAAATTCTGCAAAACTTGCTTTGTTTGTTCTTTGTTACCCTGGTTAAAAAAATTAGAATGGTAAAAATATTGTTTTCAAAGGTAGGGCACTAGACTTGAAACTCTTAAATACTGGTTTAAAAAATAAATAGAATTTGCCAACTTGTACTGAGAACATGATGTAATTCAATCAGCTAAATTATTTTAATACATTTTCTAATCTACTTTTCTACACAGTTAAGTGCTCCCTTTTAATGGCATTACTATTGTGTCTTCTGTAATAACATCAGCGCAGTATGCAGTGTAATCTACAGTTTATTATATTCTGTTAATTTAAAACTGATCTTGTTTCCTTTATAATTTGTTTTAAATATGTTTTCTAACAAAAATAAAATTTGATGGATTCAGATGTGCTATAATTACTGTTCAGTATCTAAATACTATTTTTTATTCTTTTAATTGCATTTAATTTATTTCACCGGGGAATGATGCATTTTAGGTCAAAATAGCCAAATCTAAAATATTATCCAAATCAACCAAGTTTCCAGCTCCTTTATTTTTCCTTAAAGGGACACTCTGGTCACCACAAAAACTTCATCACAATTATGCTATTGTACCAGAAGGCTCCTGTACTCCTACCTTAAGGGGTTAAATCGTTCTCGAACGGTTTAATCCTAGAGGTTGCCTCCAGTTCTTATCCCAAGCTGCATCCAACTTCTGTATCGGAGTTACAGGAAGCGCAGATAAAAGGCTGAATACAATTTGACACTGCATAAATATCTATATTCCTAACGCAGTTAGTATGTTTACTACAGTATTTTTTGTCCCTACTTGGTTTAAGTGCACCCCCGGCCTGCAAAAAAAACTAAATGAAAATAAATTATTTATTCACCTTCTTTCTAGTGCTTCCTAGCATGATATCATCCTGGAGGCATACCTTCAGGATGAGGTCAATTCCATTGCTCTTCATAAAGGAGCATTGGAGGCCATAGACGCATGCTCGGCCTTGATATGCCTGCGATTCTGCCACAGAGAATCATTGCATGCAGTGATTCTTGATGGAAAACCATGATGGCACTGCACATGAGCATGTGACTGTGATATCATGTAATCTTGGGGTATGAGAGCAAAGAATCACAGTCCGAGCTCTCAAGCCTCTAATTACTAAAGTATTTAGTTTTGGGGCTACTAGAGTGGTGGGGGAACAATTGTAGACACTAGAACAACTTTATGTTAAAGAGACACTGTAGGTACCCAGACCACTTCAGCCCATTGAAGTGGTCTGGGTGCAAACTCCTATCACCCTTAACCCTGAGCATGTAACTATTGCAGTTTTTATAAGCTGCAATAATTACCTGCTAGGGTTAACTCCTCCTCTAGTGGCTGACACCCACTAGAGGGACATCCTGGTGCTTAGACAACTTTGGTCGTCTAAACTACGCTGGACGTCCTCACGCTATGCATCAGGACTTCCAGCATCACTGTAATCCAAAAAGGAAAGCATTGGGACATTGGCGCTGGACACAGGTAAGTGACAGAAGGGGTTATTAACCCTTTCTGCACAACAGGGGTGGGACTTGACAGAAGGAGAAACTATAGTACCAGGAAAACAAGTTTGTTTTAATGGCACTATAGTTTTCCTTTAAGTTGTTATAGTGAGTAAAGTGTTGTAAATAGAAAAAGACTAAATGCCATTTTAGTCAAAAGGTGCAATGCTGGAAATTTGCACAAACGTATGGTTTATTTTAAACTACATATATATATATTACATACCCTCTACACACAAGTGTACACAGGGCCGGTGCAAGGATTTTTGCTGCCCTAGGCAAAAGAGAAATTTTCCGCCACCCCCCAATGTGACATCACAATGCCCCACCCATATGATCTGCCATATGAACTAATGCCAGTTCTGCACACAGTGTGTGTTTACATTAAAAAGCCTGCAGGGGCAGGCTATAGACACCAGAACCACTTCATTAAGCTGCAGTGGTTCTGGGAACTATAGTGTCCCTTTAAGTGAGGTAAATTAGAGATTGCCTACTTACAACCAGATGAGGATGGTGATGGGCTCTGGCTGCAGTTTGGCTCCACTGGTCTGGTGTAGAACAGGATCTCTGGAGGCTATTTGTAACTGTGGTGACAAAATTCAATGTTCTGGGAGAACGGGAAGCAGCTCCATTTTTTGGGGCCCCTTACACAGCTCAAGGTCTAGGCCCCAGGGCCTCACGGTAAGTATGCCCATGATGCCCACCCATAATTCCACCTACATGTTCCACCCAAGAGAAGCAGTGTGTGTGTTTGCATGTGTGTGTAAGGGATGCATTGTGTGTTTCTGTGTATGTGTGCAAAGGATGCATTGTGTGTGTGTGTGTGTGTGTGTAATGGATGCATTGTGTGTTTCTATGTGTAAGGGAAGCAAGTTGTGTTTCTGAGTATGTATAGGGATGCATTATGTGTGTGTGTGCGTGCGTAGTGTGAAAGAGATCCCTGTCCTATACAGCCTCTCCCTTCCATCCCTTAGAGATCTCCCCTGCTCCTTAGTGGCCTCTCCTTTTCTCCACGACTTTGCATTAGTGGTCTCTGCTCTCCTCTGCCCCCTCTTTCCATTAGTGGTCTCTCCTTCCCTCCCCCCCACCCTTAGTGGTCTCTTCTCACATCCCCCCACCCACCTTTCCATTAGTGGTCTCTCCTCCACCGCCCTCCCTCCCTTAGTGGTCTCTACTCTACCCCCACCCTCCCCTAGTCACTGAGTGAGCACTTCCTATCAGTCCGTCCGGGTACAGGAAACGGATGTTCCTGTACCGCGAACCGGAGAGGAGCTCTGCCACGCTACACACAGGGAAGGGGAGGTGAGGAGAGAGGCAGTGCTGCAGCCGCCTGAGACTCTCTATAGAGCACTCAGGTGGCTGCAGCATTAGAAGGGTTGGCGATGGGGGCAGCTGCCCTGAGTGTACAAATAAACATGTTGAATCAGGGCTTGACAGATATGCTGGAATCTAGGACCCAGCTACAAAAGTTAGGAGCCAGTATATTTTTTAATGAACTAAGCTTAATTTTCAACAACAAAAATACAATTCTTAAAAGAAACCCTAAAGTCATCAGAACCACTGCAGTTTAATAGCCTGTCCCTTCCTATGGGAAAGCATTGGCTTGGCTGAGATCAAGATTGAGACCATCACGACTTGGGAAAAAAGGTGAGTAAAATCACCTTTCCTATGCAATAAGAGGAGGCTGGTCACCTAAACACACACACTTTTCAAATTATTTTAGTTGAAATCCACTCAGCTTCCCTATTTTTGGAGAGCCAGAGTGGATAGGCTTTCCCTGCGGTCCAATTGGGCTGCTGTCATCTCCCTGTCCCGCACTGTTTAGTATGCCAATACCGGAAATACATCATATTCCAGCATGACTGCTCCCTCCTTCGCCTCCCGGTTCCATTCCACACAGCACCTGCTGGCCCACCTCTGCTCTCCAACATCAGCTGGCCGCTTTTGCTCTCCCACAGCTGCCTGCATTTTCCCTCGCTGCTTCGGGCCAACTTTTCTCAGTGTCAGGACAAAATTCCTAATCGACCTGGCGTCTGGGATTTGTTAAGCTCTGTGTTAAATTGCAAAGAGGATTGTCAAAATGAATGGTGATGAACCCCTTCCCCTTTCAAATTATTTTACATATTGTAAAAACAAAACGACATGAAACAGGCAATACATTCATATACTATACCACTGGACCAAATATACATCCAGATCTGAACAATGTGTAGGCTTACTTGAAATGTGATATAGAAATGATAAAAATCTTCTTAAATAATGCATGCATATATGTATATGGGAAGGCAATAAATATAGGCACCTTGTATAAATTCATCAGAAACCATCAATACAGTACTACATAAAGCTGCACAATTAAATAAATCCAGATTAAAGAAATTGGGAACATATAGTTCACATTTTGTTTTTAATTCTATTTCTTTTTATTAAATAATATCAGACATATGGAATCATAATAAAAAGATAATCAAGCAATGGTATACAAGCCACTTGGTACATGTCGTTCAAGAGATGTAAATGATAACATATACAGTTAATGTACATACAATTGGTAAAAATCACAGATGGAGAAGGTGCAGAGAATAGCGTTTGGTGAATGATGCTGGGGGACGCATAAGCAGTGGAGGCCACATGGATATGTGAAGGATCAATATATCATCTTTTTGTTTGCATGTATAAGGCTTGAGCCATTAAGGGTTTTATCTGCATAAGGATACTCTGAGATCGTGGAGAGCCCTCGACATGTAACCCATCTGTCATGCTTTTAATAGCCTAGATCCATTTGTCAAGATAGATTTTTAGTTAACAACTAAAACAATATATACAAAAAGGAACAAATAGTCAAACATAATAGGAATACAAAATAACCATATAAGCAATTATGTTATACACATCGTTTTCAAACTTGAGAGTGATCATAAGGTAGGTACATGTAAATAAGTAAACATTTTTGAGACACCCTGGGTGGGTTTCAATTGGTTCCAATTACAGACACCTTCAATACCACACTGAGTTTGATACAACATTGAATGAGCGCAAACATTAAGAGAAATTTTCAGTCTCCTGAGTTGTCGTTGCCCTTTTCCCCTGTTTGTGTTCCCTCTGCCCAAGTTCCCATAAATGAGATCCAGGGCTGCTTAATCCTAACATACTTTGTAGGCTTCCCAAGAGACAACCAAAGGAATTCTTCTAGAGTGCGGAAATGCTCAATTTTGGATATCCATTCTCTTAAGCTAGGTGCCCTGATCGATTTTCACACGCTTGCAATCACTGATTTGGCAGCTGTGAGCATAAAAAAGCGAGTATTTAAATTTAGCTAAAGGGATATCTATGTGTAGGAGTAGAAAAGTATCCATCTCAAAGGAGAGACCCGTGACAGTAATTTCATTTATTGTGGCCTCTACCTGTATCCAGAAGGGTGATATTCCTTCACATCTCCACCAAATATGGCACAAATCCCCTGTCGTGCTTTCACACCTCCAGCAAAGGGGAGATGTATCTGGGTGAAAACGGTTGATTTCCTGAGGGGTGTGATACCAACCCCAAGATTAATTTACAATTAATTTCTTGTAACATGTCACTAGAGTGGGCATAGAAGGCTCCATGAAACAATGTTTCCCATTCTCTCTCTCACATTGAGTACCTCAGGTAGTTCTCAGTTTGAGACACCCGGAAATCGATTTAGCTATTATTGTAGTGCCTGAGCACAGCCTTTCAATCAGTATGTTCCCTAAGTACCCCCTCTGGGATACTGAGGGTTTTGAGGAAATGCGATACTAAGAAGAATTGGAATGCCTGTGCTAGAGATGGTGCTTTTGAGTTTGTCATTTCTGTTAGAGGTCTCAGACCAC